TTTGAACTATGACTGCTAATTCGATGCTGTGACTTTTTCCGTGCAAATTTGCGGGAATAAAAAAAAGCAACCTAAAGTCACAAGTATATTTAATTTCCCTAATAAAATTGAATTACTGACTTCTCAGTTTTTATACCTCTTCTAAAAAAATCCCTGGGTCTAATATACACTACAGCAACAGTACCCCACTCAAAAGATCTCATTTACTTTATTGATCCAAAGTATTTTTAAAAACATTTTCTTCAATCTTTTCTCAATTTTCTAAAAAATTCCTTTTAATTTTCAATTAGCACAAATGAGGGGCAAAAAGTTGGGAAATTTTTTCCACCTGTACCGGATCCGATTTTGAACCAGAGAAATCATTCTCGCTGTGCCTTAAAAATCAAATAATTTTTTACCTTTTCCCAAAAGAATTTCCTCGTTAAAAGCTATTTTCTGAATGTCTATTTTCATGGAAAAATATGGCTTGCTTTTACAATTTTTGCAAAAACCTTGTCCCACCTGTGAAGTTTTGGCTAATAGTGAGTAGATCCAGGAATATTTTCGATGTAGTCAGAGATGAACTTTTGAAAACGCCATTTCCATTTATAGCTTGTACTTGTTACTTTTGTTTGCTCTAGTATTATCACATACATACTTTCAGTGTCGTAAATTAGAAATACACGTTTTCAATTGGCATATTTAATTCCTCTTTTTTCCACAGCAGCAAGCAAGACCGGATCCTAGAACCGTAAGCTAGGCTAGACCAGAAAACTAGGTTCAGGTATGGCTTTGTTTTTATTTTATCTTAATGGATACATGTTTTTAAAGGACTAGATAGATAATACCATTTTTTAGCTTCATCGAAAAAACTAGAAAAGGTCGTCAATTTATCGTCCGATTTCAAAGCGAAACAAGGCGATTCGATTTGATTTGCAAAATTTCTGAAGTCGTGGAACTGATTTGATTGTAGATTCGGGAATCAGCTGAAAACTTGTTTTTTTATGATTTGTTTCATTCTGAAACCGGTGGCAAAGTGGTGACATTTTCTATGCAAATCATTCTGAAAGTTGTCTCTTGTGGCCTGGTCAATAAACTGCTTGAAAACCATTGTTTGTTCGGTCATTTTTCATTTACGAGGCCAAAATTTGTCAAGTCAGAAACCCCGGGCCGGACTTCTCAAAGTTATGTTTTGGCCATGCGTGCTAGTGAGCAATCTTTTCCCATTTTCTCATTGCTCCTTTGCTCAGCAATCTCCAGTCTCACTACATTGATGTAAATGGTGATTGGAAATTGACTCCTGGGATTTTCTTTAAAGACTTTCAAAAACCCTTCAAACGTACCTGGAGTTTGCTGATTAATGTAAAGGTTCAAAAACTCATCATTTAGCTATTTTAAGTCACAAATAGGATTTTCCAAGAAAATCTGTAATCATAATCGGATGTTGTGTTTTCTTTGCAATTTGCTCATTTGAATTCTCCTTCTCAAGAGTTCGGTATTCAAATTTTAGCAGTAATGTATCCAACAATGTTTTTCGTTTATTTAATCTACGGAACGCCGACGTTTATTTTGTATCTCCGAGCGATTTATGTTATTTGTAAACAGAGGAAGAAATTCTCGAGCACTTTCTATACGCTGTACACGAATTTGTTGATTGTGGTGGGTTGACTTTATTTTACATACCAATTGAACAATCAATCATTAATTCAAAGAATCCACAGGTCAACCGTTATTGTTTACCTATCTGAGTTGTTGAATAACTCAAATGCTCCAACCGAGTTCTAGGGTCTGTAAGTCAGACTAGAAGCCAGTTTCAAACCTGGCTTCTGGCTGGCCCAAGCCAGACCGGGTCCAGAGTTCACTAGAGCTAGCAAAATTTACGAATACGTTTTGCTCGATCTGTTCGATCTTAAAAGAATACGCACTGTTCGATCTACACATGTGAAGAGACCGGAATTTTTCTAGGCCAGTCGAATAGTGACAATCCCGGGAGGTGGCAGGGACTTTCAACTCAACACGACAAAATGCGGATCACTGTCATGCTGACAGCACGACAGATTCAAATGCTAGCCATTCGTTTTGCTCAGATGCGAAGGTCATCGCCAAACTTCAGAACAAGCTGCACTGGGGTGGATCTACATAAATGAATGATACTTTGATTGGAACCTACCTTCGAAAGATACTCCACTTTTTGAAAAACGATGAATCGTCTGAGATAACTTTTCGGCTCACGAAAGCGAATTACGAGGAAAATTCTAAAGGATTTGCAAATTGATTTGGTTCTGGTACCTGGACGGTGCACTAAGTACATTCAAGCACCGCATGTGGTCTGGAATGCCCCTTTTAAAACAATGATTTGAGTCCAGTATAAAGATTGGATGCTGAATGGGCGAAGACCGTTGACTCGCAATGGAAATCTGGCCCCTCCACCAATGGAAACCTTGAATCTTGAATGGGTTTGGAATGCGTGGAACGAACTCCCGAAGAGCTTCACCATGCTCTTGTTTAAGAATTGTGCGAATTGTGAATTACCACGACTACTGATAGCTCGGAAGATGGACCTTTACTGCTTCAAGAAAGAAGGACCGATTCCTGAAGGCGCGAGACTTCAGGAAAAATGCTATGGCGCAATACTACTAGGGAGAATACGGTTTATGTTACAATTAATGTGTGAATGCCTAGGCCGGACCAGGACCCAGGTTTAGGCAAGGCTAGCTGAGGCAATCTTAGTGACTAGGTAAGTAAAGGCTAGGCTAGACCAGAAATAAGGCCAGGATTTGTTCTGAAAAACTGGATTTGAAACCCTGGTTTTACTTGGCAGGGTTTGATGATTTCAAGTAAGCAATAAAAGTCCCCTAAATTCTTGAGGTCAACTTGTCGTGCAAGTATTCCGAAATTTCCAGGACGTTCTCACCTACATCGTCAACTATCCAGGCGTGAAATGCAAAAGAGATTCCCGAGTTGGCGCCGCTTTATGTCGGAATCGAGATCTCATTTCCTCCATTTCGTATCATTCGATGGTTTATGAATGTCGTTTTCATCAACAATTCCTTTTCGACAATTCTGATTCACGCGAATCGTTTCACCGCAATTTGGTTTCCCTGGGGATATCAAAAAGGTAATCAAACATTGAAAAGATTAGTACATTAAAAGATTAACACCCGTACATCGTCCGGGCTTTCATGTGGTTTCTGAAATTTGAAATCTGAAATCAATCGAAAAATACACAAAATTGTAAGTACGATTTACCCAATTACCGTATTTCCTGTAATAGAAGCCCCCTCCTCTCTAATAGAAGCCCCCCGCCCTCCCCTAGAGGTTCATCGAAAAAATGGAAGCCCCCTCTAATAGAAGCCTCCCCAATTTGCATTTAAATTTACATTCAAAATTCTGCGTTCATTAAATATCCATTTTTGACTGAATACCTTGCTCTCTTTTCTCTTTCTCTTTGTTGTTAGCCCTCACAAATTCGTCCGCAAATCAACAAATTAGGCGTGTTTTTGACTAAAATATGGCAGTTTTTAAAACCACTTGCATCAATCGATTTTTGATGGGAAATTTCGTTGGCCGTTTCTGTGTAAAATGACCGATTTTTGACAAAATGCGATTTTTAAAAGATCCACAAGACAGATGTTGATAATTTTTTCACCATTGAATTCAACACATTTTTCTGCGTCAAATGGCTATTCAAACGTCAAATCTTATAGAAAACAATTTTTTTATCTTATTTCGCGCGAATGTCTCCCCCCCCCAGAGGAGGATCGAAAAAATAGAAGCCCCGGAGCGTCTATTACAGAAAATACGGTAATCCTTTTTAGTCCAATTCTAAAAAGTCCTCTTCGAAAAAGCTACCGTAATACCGTAATCGTAACAACTGTAAAGTTCCTTTTAAGACAAACATCAACATAATTTGAGCCAGCTATCCGATCGATCGGACTGATTGGCTTAAATCTAAAAGTCAAAATAGTTTTTCTTGGGCACACTTTCTAAAAAACGTAAACGCAAATTAAAAAGTATCACGGGAAAAGCTACCGTACTTTGACTACGTTTTAAAGTTTTAGCTATGATTTTTAGAGTTTGTGCTGCGGGTTAGCTTAAATTAGAGCTATAAATGTCTGTTGTGATTCAAAAAACATTAGGACTACGGTAGTTTTTGAAAGAGGAAACGTTTTAGAAAACGAGTCTTCATCAAAATTTGAGTTGTTTTTTCAGAAACAGTACGACTACGGTAGTCTTAGCATTTTTTAGAAAACTAATTAATCTTTATCACCAAATGCAGTTCTGGAAAGCGATCATTTGGCCAGCAATCATCATCATTCATATCTTTTCCCTTGTGCCGCTCTGCCCTTCGCTTTCTTGACAAATTCTTTCATTTTCGTCAATGAGACCGTCAGCCGGAATCCTACAGTTGTGCAGGTGGAAAAAAAGAATCAAAAGTTATTCTGTAATTAGTTTTTCCCAATTAGTGCGATGTATGTGATTTGTGAGTTGGTGAAAATTCTAGGAATCAAAGAGCCTTGGTTCAAGAAAGAGGATATAAAAATTGGTTATTGAAAGAAGTCAGGTTTTGTCAGCTAATTGAGACATCAAAGATCTACTAGTTGAGCTTATAGATCTCAACTACAAGTATAAACTGTTTTGTAGTATACTTTATACTCAAAAACTTTGTAAATACGTTCAGCTCGGTTCATTTTCTTACAGCAACACTGAAAACAAGAGAAAAAACAAAGAGTGAGTGTGCCCGAAAGGGTGTGTTTGCATTCGTGACATGTGTTTGCATTACACCACAAAGAACAAGTATGACTGTACGCTTCCAGTTCTAAAAACGTGAGCCCACCTTTTCTGGAGCATCAGAATCATTGGAGTTCTTATATGACCAAGCCGAAAGACCAAGATTAAGTGCGCCAGAAAAAAAGTGTTTGCTTTTACGTACTAATTCTGCTTATAGGCACAAGTTAAGGTTAAGTAATTTGACACCATGCCAAGTGCTTAGAATTATATTAATAACTTGATATCGTGTATCCAAAGCTTATATCTTTAGGATTTTGCCTACGCTTTCGATAGCTTGGCGATCTCTTCAAAGGTTTACATCATCATTGGTGGGATTCTCAATACTCTCTCTTTTCTCAAATTGCTGCAAAGGAATGCAAACGTGTAAGTGCAAACACATGCGGAAACTATTGAAATGGCTGGATTAAAAGTCATTTTTCAAAAGTCAAAAGAACAAGTTAAGCTTTGTGGTTCAAAGTTCAAAGTTCAAAATTCGACTTCATTTTTCTCAAAGATGATACCCAAACTAGGTCAAACGTCTGTCTTGATAAAAAGCCCAGTGTTTCCTGCTCTAATTTCAATTTTGTCTTGTAATATCTAATCTTAGAGCTGCTGGCAGTCGCGTGCACGAAGTGAGCCTTTTCGTCATTGGTGTATGCTCATTTTTGGTGCAAGGAATCTGTGCTTTAGTGGTGGTAAGTTGAGTTCTGAGTCTTTAATGAAATATTGAAATTCCTAGGACAAAGTCGTCAGCAATACCATCAAACCTGATCCGACGCTCGCGAATGTCATTGTGAGTTCAAAAAAATACTTCAAATTCGCTCAGGAACTGATTGTGTGGCTGTTTTCTTTCAATTAACTATCGTTTGCAAGTGTGCGCAAAGTACGATACTGCATTATTGCTTGATCTAGTTACCGTAGTCTAGCGTAGGTGGACACGTCAAATCCATGTTCAGAATACAAAATCTAACATGAGCCGAGAATCGAACCCGGGACCTCTGATGCATCATTACCAATGATCAAACAATGGTCTACATCGACACCTAACTCAGTGTCACAAGAATAGAGTAATAACATTAATTAGCTACTAACTTTAACTAACCGACACAAGCTCACCATTTGGCTTAAAGCCAAAAAAGAAAGCCGGACTACGGTCGCTGGTTCTGTAAACACTTTAGTCGCAAGGAATGCAGTTCTCTTCAAGTCGAATTTCTTATGTCTTTCATTTTTCAGGAAATCTATTTTATTCTTACATAAAGCCATATCCATTTCAGACAGCTCTCAATGGCGACTGTATGGCGTTTACCGAGGTCTACATCGGGATCGCTTGCAATCAACAACTACGTCGGGCAATCTTGGGTAGATTGAGGATATCCTGGCAGATCACACAAGATACAGTAGTCACACATTCGGGTGGCGGAGGATCGGGTCAACACAAAAATAGTCATCACACGAATATGCTCCGATCGAATTCGACCCCGGTGGCTGATCGAATCGACCGGAAAGTGTCGTGAATGGACAAAAAAAGTTCTTGAAGGAAGAAATTTGAGTGGTTTGATGATAAATCTTTGATTATTTGATATTATTTGAACGCAAAGAATTTGAAAATTGTCAAATTTTCGTTCACAATGAGATTGAATTGATCAACATGAAAACTTTGCCATTTTCAATTTTCACATTTGCTTTGTGCGGTGAGGGCTGAACCAAGTGGATCGTCGTTATCTGGGGCAGGGGCCACTTCTTCAGGACTTCAGGCTTCGACCAAAAGCTTCGCTGTAATAGCGGCGGAAGTCGTCGGCCCTGAAGGATCTCACACAATGGTCTATCGGAGTCGATCGCCTCTTTGATGGCACGCGAGCGGCTTGTTCGGTAAAGCTTCTGAAGGCGGGACGCATCGGCCGGGTCGTAGGCTTGCTGTTGATGGCTTCTTCTTGAGGTGGGTCTTCTTGCATTGTTTCGGGTGGCTTTGGCTCGTTGGGCGGCCATCTTTGTCTTTGCCTCTTCAACAAACTCATCCAGCAGCAAAACCAGCAGCAAAACCCGAAGTGTTCCCATATCATCGAACCATTTGGGTTGGTGGGAGGCACAAGAGTAATATGAGTAATATGTAAGATAGTAAGATAGTAAGATAGAGTAATGATTGTGATGTGTTTGAAGGACAGACTCAAGTCGGTCCGCGATTACATTTTTCCCTTCATTTCGCACCGATAGGCGCTATTGCACTTACTGGCGGAATCGGCGCACAACCCCAGCGATGGGGGAACAAAAATAGAACAAAAAAGAAGCTCAAAACGGAAGGCTTTCCATTCTTTCATCAAAAACTTCAAACAAACCATCATCTTTACTCTACCTTACCATCTTAGATCTTGCTCAAAACGCGTGAAGCTCGAAATGCCCGGTCTTCGAGGATCCTCGACTTCCGACAATTAGTTTGGCATAAGATGTCGCGAAGTGAGTAAATCTGCGGCTCTGGAGAAGAAAATTAGTCATTTTGTTTACGGCACTTTTTGATAGCAATTCTATAATTTTGAGTTTAGAGTTGCGATTTATGGAAAGAACTTGAATCCATCACGATTTTACTTTGCGGTCGTGTGTGAGGAGGATCGTGACAAAGAGACTCCTAGCAGAGCCGTCAATTTTTTCAAGGATAGCGTCATCATTGAGGTTATTTTTGGCACTTTACGGTTATGATATAGTTTATTTTAACTTCGACTCATTGAGGCGAATTTTTCGAGCGCATAAAATAAAGCCGTCTGCAACATTTTCCATGCCAGTGGTGTTCACTTTTCATCGATCCTTTCTGAAGCGGTAAATTGTTTCAGGCTTTCATAAGTGACACCCATGTTTAGGGGCGTGTATTGTTCATCGTCCAAAAAGAAAGCTACGACATTTGGCAACGTTTGGGAATTATGACCGGCTGTGTGTTGCTCATTATGTGGTCTGGTGGGTTTTTTGCAATGAGAAATGTTTTGGTTTAAAGTTTAGCTATGTTGTCCGGCTTAAACTTTGCCCTCATTTGACTTTCCGTCAAATATTTGGAGTTGATCGCTCGACACGGGAGCAAGAAAGAAAGTGTGAGTGTTACTGACTTAATAATTTACATAAAGTTCATAGATCTTGGCTAATTTTTAAACTTTTGCTTTAGAAACGCGCCAAAGGAATCATCAAGCTGCGAAAGTACGGATATTGGATCATTTGCACCTATGCCACTTTGAACGTCTTTGTGAATGTGGTATCCACGATTCTCTCTGAAAAAGTTTTTCCGGTAATTGGAGAAGGCTTGTTGACTGAAAATAAACTTTTTTTGAAGGGCTCATGAAGTGTTGGGAAACATATAGCGGAAATTTTTATTCCCCCGTTTTTATCGTCGCTTTTGGAGGGTTAACACTACAGGTGAGTAGGATTTTATTTTTGATTTGCTCAACTTATTTCAAACCATTCAACTTGTGATTTAGGTTGTTTGCCATCGCCGTGGTCTGGTCGTTTCATGGTTGACTTGGTACTTCCCGTGGTTTTGTCTGTTCGCGATGTCTCCTGTTTGTTATCTAGCTGCTCGACTTAGCAATTGCTTGCTTGGACGGTTAGTTTTGCACGTGTTCAATAAAATAAAGTTGTTTTAGAGAAATGGCCAAGCGCACAAAAGCGGAAGCGATGGAATTAATGAGCCAAAACATTCGATTAATTACGGAAGAAGATTTTGATTTTGGACTTTCGCACTCCTCCAGCAAATGGTTTTCTTTTAACAATTTTTGAAAGGATACAGGACTTGCAGAAAACGGTTGTCGGTCAAGTACACACGCATGTTGAGGACATTTTTCGACTTACCGACAAGGGAATTCTCGATGAAAAGATTTCCTTTGCATGTATCTTTATGGCTTTTCATGATTTAGTTGCTTTTTGTGATTGCCGAGAAGGTTTATACGAGAGTGTCGATTTTTTGAGACGAACAATTTGATAATATATGTTCTCGATGATGTATGTGCCTTGCTGTCCTGTCGATTACGGGACAAGGACGGATTAGATTTCTCCTGATTTCTATTTTGCACCAACTTTAAAGCTGTTTAAATCTACTCCGGTTTCTATGTGACAATTTCAGGCAAGAACTCTATTGTACAAAAAGGGATACAATTGTAGGCCGAAAAGGGGAAGTCATCAAGTAAACATCTCACTTTTGCGCAAATGAAGCTATCAATTTAGAAGGATTTTTGTCATTTTCGTTGGCGGTCTGATTGTTGACAAAAGCAGCTATATCGCTGCGATCATTCATGGCATTGAATTGCTGAAGGAGTTGTTTGAAAGTGAGCAAATTTAAACTATTTTTAATCTTTGTCATTTAGCCCAAAAATATCGAAATCGGGAAATCTTGGCCGTTTAACAAAAGTCTCCTGCTGCAAAAGGTTTGTTGATGGCGTGCATTAAGATTTATTTCATTTAGGAGACGGTCTCTAAATGGCTTTCTCCTACGGATCTACTCAACTAGCTAATCTTCTCGAAAAAGAAGAGGATAGCAAAAGAGGTTTTGTTTTAGGCGAGATGCTCAAAAATCTTTTTTAGTTTTTCATTGAAATCAACGGTCAAATCAAAGTCGAGTCATTGTCTCAGCAAAGAACCTTCTACCAGCAGAATTTAAATCGGTTACTCATGCGTGTTTGTCGTAGATGATCATAGTTTAGCTGACCAACAAGTAACACCCAAGCCAAAGCGAGCTTTATTGGAAAGAATGCGAGAGGAAGGAAAAACGTTCAAACATTTCTGCAAGCAACTTCCCGATGAGTTGAGAAAATAAACGATTAAGGGGTTAATGAGATTCTTTTCTGACTCAAACTAATGGTATTACTTAGGAAAGAGCCGACGACATTCAATTCGACACGGAAAGGCGCAAAGACTCGGAACGAATCCAGCAATCGAATGTGAGTTTGCGACTTAAGTCCTTCTAATCTTTACTTTTTTTAGAAAACTTTTAAATGAGTGAGTCGCGCGGCCGTCAGTGGGACCGCCGTTTTGCCAATCAACTGTTCGCCACTTATGTCACCAGTAAATTACCTAATGATAAATGTTTTGCGATTTCAGCTGTCATATTCCATTAATTAACGATATTGCTTCAGACTTACGATTCTCTGCCAAAGATGCGGAAATCTTTTACGAAATTCCGAGAAACTCGCAGCCAATCACGAAAGCCAACTCCACAGCCTAAACAAGTATCAAAGGCAAAATTTGAAGACTATTAATAGCTTCTTTAGGAACCAATACCAAATTTTGAGGGAAGTGGACAAAGAGCGGAGAATTTGTACAGGGATTAAAACAATTATCCGATTTTCTTTTGTAAATAAATGTTTTGTCACCGTCCTGCCCCATTTCATTAAACATAAGCATAGCAGCAAATCCATTTCTTGAGGCGTTCCCACATCATCGAACCATTTGGGTTGATGTGAGGCACAGTTGAACGAGCCGGGAGCCGGATGGACGGCTGGGCAGCTGCAGGATTCGGCGTTCTTGGCAGTGGCCTCGGTGGAGTTGGGGCCACGATTCGGTTTGGTAAAGGAATTAACTGGTCCACAGTTTTTTTTAGTTTGTTTGAAAGTGCTGTAATGCATAGGAAAAGAGAAAGCATTTGCAAAACAGCTTTGAGAAGCTTTTCTACTTTAGAATTGCCGGCATCCACCTCAACAATCCTCGACGACAGAAGTTGCACGATTCTACTGAATCAAATTTGCTGAATAAGCTATAATCAAAAGCGTGTCAGGTTAGAGCCTTTTGTGTTACATTTTTTGATTCGATGTTTCAGAAAAAAATACATGGCCTGCCTCAAAAGACGAACGCTATCGATGGAGGACAGCTATCTACAATGAGCTCAACGACATTGCAGACGACAATGGTGACGATGCTGACGATATGCCTGTTGCTGAAAGCATTGAATTCTGATTTTTTACAAAAACCGATCTTTACGTTTGTTAATTTTTATCGTTGTTGATATTTATGTATTTGTAGATCTTTTTCAGCAGAAAATCGTCTGCAAAGTCATGGTTCATCTAATGGCTTTGATCGTTGGACAATTGGTGAGTTTGTGTTGGAAGATTATAAGAAAACATTCTACTCTTTATTTAGTGACAAACTCGGCGTGACTAGAGAGGATCGATTTCTATTTCCGACTTCGTTCCAATTTGATCCCTCAATCATCGAACTTTTTCTTTTCTTAAGTTTAATACCTTGAAGATAGATGAATCGTAGCGATCCGTGAAGATGAGGATGAGGGCGGATTTTTAATGAATGATTATTAAAATGATATTTCATAAAGGATAAATGATATGATTATTTAACGATTATAAAGTTGTTATTTAGTTGCCGATGGCTTGTGGCCGGGGCAGCGGTGCCTTCGAGTAAGTTTTGACGTTCAGTATTTAGTGAGCTTTAAATTTTATAAAGAAATTGATACAAAGAATATAATAAAACTAAAGTTTGATCAAATCAGAATTTAGCCAGCATCTTGCATAGCGATAGTCGAGGATCCTCGAGGACCGGGCTTTTTGAGCTTTACGCTTTTTGAGTAATATGTAAGATAGTTTGGCATAAGATGTCGCGAAGTGAGTAAATCTGCGGCTCTGGAGAAGAAAATTAGTCATTTTGTTTACGGCACTTTTTGATAGCAATTCTATAATTTTGAGTTTAGAGTTGCGATTTATGGAAAGAACTTGAATCCATCACGATTTTACTTTGCGGTCGTGTGTGAGGAGGATCGTGACAAAGAGACTCCTAGCAGAGCCGTCAATTTTTTCAAGGATAGCGTCATCATTGAGGTTATTTTTGGCACTTTACGGTTATGATATAGTTTATTTTAACTTCGACTCATTGAGGCGAATTTTTCGAGCGCATAAAAATAAAGCCGTCTGCAACATTTTCCATGCCAGTGGTGTTCACTTTTCATCGATCCTTTCTGAAGCGGTAAATTGTTTCAGGCTTTCATAAGTGACACCCATGTTTAGGGGCGTGTATTGTTCATCGTCCAAAAAGAAAGCTACGACATTTGGCAACGTTTGGGAATTATGACCGGCTGTGTGTTGCTCATTATGTGGTCTGGTGGGTTTTTTGCAATGAGAAATGTTTTGGTTTAAAGTTTAGCTATGTTGTCCGGCTTAAACTTTGCCCTCATTTGACTTTCCGTCAAATATTTGGAGTTGATCGCTCGACACGGGAGCAAGAAAGAAAGTGTGAGTGTTACTGACTTAATAATTTACATAAAGTTCATAGATCTTGGCTAATTTTTAAACTTTTGCTTTAGAAACGCGCCAAAGGAATCATCAAGCTGCGAAAGTACGGATATTGGATCATTTGCACCTATGCCACTTTGAACGTCTTTGTGAATGTGGTATTCACGATTCTCTCTGAAAAAGTTTTTCCGGTAATTGGAGAAGGCTTGTTGACTGAAAATAAACTTTTTTGAAGGGCTCATGAAGTGTTGGGAAACATATAGCGGAAATTTTTATTCCCCCGTTTTTATCGTCGCTTTTGGAGGGTTAACACTACAGGTGAGTAGGATTTTATTTTTGATTTGCTCAACTTATTTCAAACCATTCAACTTGTGATTTAGGTTGTTTGCCATCGCCGTGGTCTGGTCGTTTCATGGTTGACTTGGTACTTCCCGTGGTTTTGTCTGTTCGCGATGTCTCCTGTTTGTTATCTAGCTGCTCGACTTAGCAATTGCTTGCTTGGACGGTTAGTTTTGCACGTGTTCAATAAAATAAAGTTGTTTTAGAGAAATGGCCAAGCGCACAAAAGCGGAAGCGATGGAATTAATGAGCCAAAACATTCGATTAATTACGGAAGAAGATTTTGATTTTGGACTTTCGCACTCCTCCAGCAAATGGTTTTCTTTTAACAATTTTTGAAAGGATACAGGACTTGCAGAAAACGGTTGTCGGTCAAGTACACACGCATGTTGAGGACATTTTTCGACTTACCGACAAGGGAATTCTCGATGAAAAGATTTCCTTTGCATGTATCTTTATGGCTTTTCATGATTTAGTTGCTTTTTGTGATTGCCGAGAAGGTTTATACGAGAGTGTCGATTTTTGAGACGAACAATTTGATAATATATGTTCTCGATGATGTATGTGCCTTGCTGTCCTGTCGATTACGGGACAAGAACGGATTAGATTTCTCCTGATTTCTATTTTGCACCAACTTTAAAGCTGTTTAAATCTACTCCGGTTTCTATGTGACAATTTCAGGCAAGAACTCTATTGTACAAAAAGGGATACAATTGTAGGCCGAAAAGGGGAAGTCATCAAGTAAACATCTCACTTTTGCGCAAATGAAGCTATCAATTTAGAAGGATTTTTGTCATTTTCGTTGGCGGTCTGATTGTTGACAAAAGCAGCTATATCGCTGCGATCATTCATGGCATTGAATTGCTGAAGGAGTTGTTTGAAAGTGAGCAAATTTAAACTATTTTTAATCTTTGTCATTTAGCCCAAAAATATCGAAATCGGGAAATCTTGGCCGTTTAACAAAAGTCTCCTGCTGCAAAAGGTTTGTTGATGGCGTGCATTAAGATTTATTTCATTTAGGAGACGGTCTCTAAATGGCTTTCTCCTACGGATCTACTCAACTAGCTAATCTTCTCGAAAAAGAAGAGGATAGCAAAAGAGGTTTTGTTTTAGGCGAAATGCTCAAAAATCTTTTTTAGTTTTTCATTGAAATCAACGGTCAAATCAAAGTCGAGTCATTGTCTCAGCAAAGAACCTTCTACCAGCAGAATTTAAATCGGTTACTCATGCGTGTTTGTCGTAGATGATCATAGTTTAGCTGACCAACAAGTAACACCCAAGCCAAAGCGAGCTTTATTGGAAAGAATGCGAGAGGAAGGAAAAACGTTCAAACATTTCTGCAAGCAACTTCCCGATGAGTTGAGAAAATAAACGATTAAGGGGGTTAATGAGATTCTTTTCTGACTCAAACTAATGGTATTACTTAGGAAAGAGCCGACGACATTCAATTCGACACGGAAAGGCGCAAAGACTCGGAACGAATCCAGCAATCGAATGTGAGTTTGCGACTTAAGTCCTTCTAATCTTTACTTTTTTTAGAAAACTTTTAAATGAGTGAGTCGCGCGGCCGTCAGTGGGACCGCCGTTTTGCCAATCAACTGTTCGCCACTTATGTCACCAGTAAATTACCTAATGATAAATGTTTTGCGATTTCAGCTGTCATATTCCATTAATTAACGATATTGCTTCAGACTTACGATTCTCTGCCAAAGATGCGGAAATCTTTTACGAAATTCCGAGAAACTCGCAGCCAATCACGAAAGCCAACTCCACAGCCTAAACAAGTATCAAAGGCAAAATTTGAAGACTATTAATAGCTTCTTTAGGAACCAATACCAAATTTTGAGGGAAGTGGACAAAGAGCGGAGAATTTGTACAGGGATTAAAACAATTATCCGATTTTCTTTTGTAAATAAATGTTTTGTCACCGTCCTGCCCCATTTCATTAAACATAAGCATAGCAGCAAATCCATTTCTTGAGGCGTTCCCACATCATCGAACCATTTGGGTTGATGTGAGGCACAGTTGAACGAGCCGGGAGCCGGATGGACGGCTGGGCAGCTGCAGGATTCGGCGTTCTTGGCAGTGGCCTCGGTGGAGTTGGGGCCACGATTCGGTTTGGTAAAGGAATTAACTGGTCCACAGTTTTTTTTAGTTTGTTTGAAAGTGCTGTAATGCATAGGAAAAGAGAAAGCATTTGCAAAACAGCTTTGAGAAGCTTTTCTACTTTAGAATTGCCGGCATCCACCTCAACAATCCTCGACGACAGAAGTTGCACGATTCTACTGAATCAAATTTGCTGAATAAGCTATAATCAAAAGCGTGTCAGGTTAGAGCCTTTTGTGTTACATTTTTTGATTCGATGTTTCAGAAAAAATACATGGCCTGCCTCAAAAGACGAACGCTATCGATGGAGGACAGCTATCTACAATGAGCTCAACGACATTGCAGACGACAATGGTGACGATGCTGACGATATGCCTGTTGCTGAAAGCATTGAATTCTGATTTTTTACAAAAACCGATCTTTACGTTTGTTAATTTTTATCGTTGTTGATATTTATGTATTTGTAGATCTTTTTCAGCAGAAAATCGTCTGCAAAGTCATGGTTCATCTAATGGCTTTGATCGTTGGACAATTGGTGAGTTTGTGTTGGAAGATTATAAGAAAACATTCTACTCTTTATTTAGTGACAAACTCGGCGTGACTAGAGAGGATCGATTTCTATTTCCGACTTCGTTCCAATTTGATCCCTCAATCATCGAACTTTTTCTTTTCTTAAGTTTAATACCTTGAAGATAGATGAATCGTAGCGATCCGTGAAGATGAGGATGAGGGCGGATTTTTAATGAATGATTATTAAAATGATATTTCATAAAGGATAAATGATATGATTATTTAACGATTATAAAGTTGTTATTTAGTTGCCGATGGCTTGTGGCCGGGGCAGCGGTGCCTTCGAGTAAGTTTTGACGTTCAGTATTTAGTGAGCTTTAAATTTTATAAAGAAATTGATACAAAGAATATAATAAAACTAAAGTTTGATCAAATCAGAATTTAGCCAGCATCTTGCATAGCGATAGTCGAGGATCCTCGAGGACCGGGCTTTTTGAGCTTTACGCTTTTTGAGTAATATGTAAGATAGTAAGATAGAGTAATGATTGTGATGTGTTTGAAGTATACGAAACATCGTTTTGCAAGTGAGGGATGCCAGATGGGGCGCGCCTCAATTAGACTTTCATTAGTAATCCCTGGCTGCCTTCTCCTTAAGGTTGTTGGTGATGTTGTTGTCATTCCCTTTCGATACCGCAAGAATCAACTGGTTGTACGGAGATTGGCTTTTATTTTGACTATCAGGCAACATCAACGTCAATTTTGTAGCGTCACATCCCTTGTTTCCCATAATTACAAATCGCTGTGTTTCGTCTTCTGATAAATTATTCAAACGAAAAGTAACAGCACTTCCTTTAAAGAACATCCTTTAAATTCACTGCATTGTTTGAAAGTTCGTAATCAATGTATTTCGATGATTCTTGTTGGAGTTTTCGCATTTGATGAATTTCAATTTTGATCAATTTCGACTCAATTTCACCACTACAACAAGACCTATTTTTCAAAATTTTTTCCACCATATAGTGGAAGAGTTTCGCACCCACTGATTCACTGAAAGTGAATCAGTGGCCCTCGCGCCGAAAAAACGCTCATTTTTTTTGGGTAACAATGTACGTACGGTATAAAAATGTAGGTACGGTATAATGGCTATTAATGGCTACTATACGGTAGTTTGAAGGGGAAGAAAAACCCCTGCGCTTCTTCGCCACTCATTGATTACCGTAAATGATTAAAAATGAATCGAACGAACCGACTTGATGACAAAATGAAACGAACAGCACGAAAGCCTTTCCACTTCACTCTCAACTTTCGCATTCCCTTTGTGCATCCCCTTGACGGGGATGCGTTCCAAAATTTTATCAAGACACTTTTACAAGGTCTTGGGGTTAATGCTAACCTCAAACTTGGGTAATTAAACCGAAGTGGGAGATCTCTGTCGCGCTATGTGTAGAGGTCGTAGGCCAGCAGCCGCTTTTTCCTACGAGACACACAAAAGGTGCACACAGTCGCGTCGTCTCGCGTCTCTTCGGTGATAAAGGATAGCTTTCTCTCTCTTTCTTTCTTTCTTTCTTTCCTTTCTTTCCTTTCTTTCCTTTCTTTCCTTTCAACTATTTCAACCGTCTTTCACCGCCCAGCACTCGCTTACGACCATACCACGTTGAAAACACGGCATCCCGTCCGATCTGCCAAGTTAAGCAACGTTGGGCTCGGTTAGTACTTGGATCGGAGACGGCTTGGGAATCCCGAGTGTCGTAAGCTTTTTGCTTTTCGCCGGTAGAGTAAAGATGATGGTTTGCTTGTAGGTTTCGATAAAATAAAGGAAGACTGTCGCTTTGCGCTTTGTTTTTCGTTCTTTATTTTGTTCCCCCATCACTGGGGGTGTGCGCCGATCCCGCCGGTAAGTGCAATAGCGGGCCGACGCTGTACGGCGAGAAGCAAGCTTCTACAAACCGTACCCGTTCCAAAAATTGATTAATCTCGATGAGTTCAATAGAACTCGTACCGGAGATTAAGCCGATAAGAACAGATTTAGTTTATTCAGCGAATGTTGATGGGCATGGTACGAACCCCAGCCGGTCTATCACAAGGTTTACAGTGAAGAGTCAATGAGAAATACAACCAATAGACAAATTGAGTTGCATACATTCAGGAAATAAAGATGCTTATACCAGATAAAGTACTTGCATGAGATAGTCACAAACATTTTGAGGAAAAACAAAAATGTTGCAAGAATAAGACATCAGAATCGAAAGGAAAAAGATGAATGATCGCTTCTTTGGACGTGGAGAGGCTCTTCAGGACCGTCGTGCAGGTGAGGGGAGTCGTCGGGCATGTTCACTATCAGATGGCGCCTAGGGTTTAGGCATTGAGCGGCGGCACCATCATCAAGATCGCAGGGGGCCGAATCTCTTCTTCTTCTTTGATGAGTCGCACATTTCTTCACCGTCGGGGCCGGCAGGGTGTGAGACGAAAGGCGGACCATCCGGGCATCTTCAGGTGGTGCCTGGGGTTGTCATAAAGCGGCGGCACACACCATCAGAGTTTGGCAGACGGCAGCGTCGAATCAACATCCTTTCTTGGCAGCAGCGAAGTCTTGGAGAGGCGTGAGTCGAGAGGCGGGGCTCCCAGACATCTTCAGGTGGTGCCTAGGGTTTAGGCATTGCGCAGCGGCACACACCATCAGAGCCTGGGAGGGGGCAGCATCGGATCACCGTCCTTCTTTGGCAACAGAGAGTTCTTGACGAGAGGAGAACGACGAGATTCTTCACCATCAGCAGAGGGGCCCATGAAGAGTGGAGTGACGAGGGACCCTGGATCCAATCAAAGTTTTTCTCTGCTTTGCCCGACATCAATCGGGATTTGTTCCAGCAATGCTGCTTTCACAAAATCACCAATTAAGCCGATAAGAACAGAGGAAGTTTTATTCAGTGAATGTTTGTGAAATTTCAAATAATATATGATGCCCGATGGCAATGGAATTGATGAATACAAATACAAATAGAAGTACTTGCATATAATGAAGCGATAAGGTCAATAAATCACAATAGAATATATAGAAAATTGTTTTAAGATATAACAATTTTTGTGAGAGAAATGAAAATTTCAAATAATAAATGTAGGACAAAAAGTAAGGGCTTCTCTCTGTTCAATCAACATATTGTTTAGTTCCTGTTAGGTGTTCCACGTAGATGTCCCTGGACCATTTGATTGCATCGGAAACCATTAGCTTCTTCATGAGTTGACCATATCGCAGCGAGACGCCGAGTTTTCTAAGTATTACATCGTTAGTTAAACACCATCCACCAAGGGGGCCGACCGTAAATGCGTCCAGGTAGACGTCGTAG